GCCTAGGTTTGTGACAATTTAGGACAAGACTGAAGCTTCAATACCAAATGTGGCTGAAATTATCTGTTTTCAACTTTTGGTTGTCAAGTTCATGAGTGCATATATAGCCATTTTGTTAAGTTCGATCATATTCAGTCTTTGCCAACTCTTATAATACATGGCTCTAACTTGTGATTTGATACATGATGTTCAAACTTTTAGAATCATATATATTCTTATATAAATATCCATTTTTTCCCAATTTTTAATGTAATAAACTAGTAAATTTATATATATATATATATATATATATATATATATATATATATATATATAAATTTGTGCCTTACATTATTATTTTGGGATGATTTTAGACACCTCCGCTTAGATTCAGTTTCATAATACGTATCTCTGTTATGGTTTACAATATAATGTTTTACCTTCCTTATGGCTAGCTTCAAGCCTCTTCTCACATATTTAGGTTTGTTTGACAGAGTGTCAATTACTGGTACTAAATAAGATGTATTTTTTATCCTTTCGATTTGGTGTATGTTGAAATTTATGTGTCCACTAGTCACGGTAAGACTAGGTGCTTAACACAAACGACTTAACGAGGAAACCTCGTTACTCAAGGGAATAAAACAACATTCCGTCTCACAGGATTTTCGAACTGTTTTTACTAATCTTCACATGTAAAAGTAAAATACGATTTACAACACACACGAGATTAGCCTCCTAATCTCTATACTGAGTAATACACCTATCACTCATTGAGCCAAAGCATGTCTGCATTGCCCATTATACTAACCCAACTTATTAATATAGACTTTTAATTGAGGCTTGTTTGAACTTGAAAATGCATAACTTTTTCCCGCGGGACGAGCTGGTTCCAATTATAAGTCCATGAAAAATATCGGCCATTTGGTTTCGGTACTTCTGGATGAAAAAAAAATTAGCAAACGGAAAATTGATAAAATCTTCCTTTACATGCTTTGGGACTCGCTTGAACTTGAAAATGCACCACTTTTCGCCTCTGGACGCACTTGTTCAATTTCTAAAGTCTTAACGGACAGCCATGAAAAATTTTGTAATTTTGTTTCGAGGTTTTCGAATAAAAAATCCATGAAATATAGCACACGAAAATCGATAAAATCTACCTTTAGCTAATTTGGGGCACGTTTGAACTTGAAAATGCACCATTATTCCCCGCGCGACAATCTGGTTCCATTTCTAAAGTCTTAACGGACGTCCATGATAAATTTTTGCTAGTTTGTTTTGAGATTTTAGGATGAAAAAAAATCCATAGGCTATTTATACACGAAAATCCGTAAAATCTGTCTTTGCCTTCTTTTGTGCTCGTTTGAACTTGAAAGTGCACCAATTTTCCCGCGGGATGAACCGGTTCCACTTCTAAGGTCTTAACGGACGTCCATGAAAATTTTTGGCCATTTTGTTTCTGGATTTTTGAATAAAAAAATTTCATGGGTTATAGCACACGAAAATTGGTAAAATCTGTCTTTGCCTGCTTTGGAGATCATTTGAACTTGAAAATGCACCATTTTTCTTGCAGGACAAACTGGTTCCATTTCTAAGGTCTTAACGGACGTTCATGGAAAATTTTGGCCATTTTGTTTTGGGATTTCCGAATTAAAAAAAGTCCATGGACAAAAGCACACGAAAATTGATATAATCTGTCTTTGTCTACTTTGGGCTCGTCTGAACTTGAAAATGCACCATGTTTTCCCTGCGGGACAAACTCGTTCCATTTCTAAGGTCTTAACGGATGTCCATGAAATATTTCGGCCATTTTGTTTTGGGATTTCTAGATTAAAAAATTACATGGACTATGGTACGCGAAAAATCGATAAAATCTGCCTTTGTCTGCTTTGGGGCTCGTTTGAACATGAAAATGCATCATTTTATCGTGCGGGACGAACTGGTTTCATTTCTAAGGTCTTAACAGACGTCCATTAAAAATTTCAGCCATTTTGTAACTGAATTTCAGGATTAAAAAAAATCATGGGTTATAGCACAGGAAAATCTATAAAATATGTCTTTACCTGCTTTGGGACTCATTTGAACATGAAAATGCAAAATTTTTCCTACAGACGAACTAGTTCCATTTCTAAAGTCTTAACGGACGTCCATGAAATTTTTTGGCAATTTTGTGTCGGAATTTCTGGAAAAAAAAATATTTCATGGTCTATTGCACACAAAAATTAGTAAAATCTGGCTTTGCCTACTTTAGGGCTCGTTTGCACTTGAAAATACACCATGATTTCCCCCTGGACGAATTGGTTCCATTTCTAACGTCTTAACGGACGTCCATGAAAAATATCGGTAATTTTATTTTGGGATTTTCCGGAACAAAATTTCATGGGTTATAGCACATGAAAATTGATAAATCTGCTTTTGCCTGCTTTGGGGTTCGTTTGAACTAGAAAATGCACCATTTTTTCCCGCGGGACGAACTATTTTCATTTCTAAGGTCTTAACGGACGTCCATGGAAGATTGCGGCCATTTTGTTTTAGGATTTATGGATAAAAAAATCTATGGTCTATAGCACATGAAAATCAGTAAAATTTGTCTTTACCTTATTTGGAGCTCGTTTGAACTTGAAAATGCACCGTCTTCCCCCGCGGGGACGAACTTGTTCCATTTGTATGGTCTTGACGGACGTACATGAAAAATTTCGATCATTTTGTTTTTGGATTTCCGGATAAAAAATCATTTGGCTATATCACACGAAAATTGGTAAAATCTGCCTTTGCCTGCTTTAGAGCTCGTTTGAACTTGAAAATGCAACATTGTTTCACGCTCGATGAATTGGTTTCTTTTTTAATGTCTTAATGGACGTCCATGAAAAATTTAGGCCATTTTGTTTTTGAATTTTCAGATAAAAAAATTCTATGGGCTATTGGACATGAAAATCGGTGAAATTTGTCTTTGCCTGCTATATGGAAAAATTGATCAGGTTCTTAACCGTCTATTTTTTTTATTGTTCTTATTTAATTTAGTGGCTTTCTTGTTTTGTACTTTTTAGTTTACAAGCTCACTAGATGGATTCTATTTTTTGAATTTTTTTTAGGTCAGTCAATATGACGAGGATTGTCCAGCTCTGCCATGTCTTGAAATGGAAGGTTTCTCAGGTGTGATGATTTAGTGTCACCTCAAGGAAGTTAAGTTAAAAGGTTTTCTAGTCACAAAGGTCGGGATGCAGCTTATCAAGTTGTTTTTTAGGCAAGTCACCTGTTTTGGTTCGAATGCTGATTAAGGCTTATATATATAATGATAATCTAGGGCAATTATCTAAGTCTCATTCCAAAACAAACAGTTTCCTTGCTTTAGTAAATGCATTTTGCCGTTCATCACCTAAAGCACAAGTAGTATTTGATATTACGCAGAATTCAAATTGTCGCTTATCTTTGTACGAATGATAATTAAGGCCTATATAAATAGTTTGGTTGCTGCAGTAAATGATTTCTGCGTGCATCACCTAAAGTAGAAGTAGTCTTTGAGATCGAGTATGGTATTACTACTAGCTCTATGTTATTTACTTGAATAACAATTTTCTTTTGTTATTCATTCTGTTTTTCATTCCATAATGTGTTGCAGTATACTGATGCAAATTTCTGTTTCAATTGAACTTTTGTTACTCATTCTCTTTTTATAAATTCCTTATTTATGGGCAGTGGAAAACACTTTCATATGAGGCGATACGTCTCAATTAGAAGAATCAACATTCATTACAGAGCTGGCGTTTCTCTTTGTATGGAAATGGAGAAACTGCTTGAATGCCTAGTCTTATCCATCACTTGTTATTTCTTATTTGTTGTTTGTCTTTCAACGTGTCATGAGTTTGAATCGGTGTATCTTTTAGAAAGGCCAACTACAGTAACAGACCACAATGATAGTAAATTCCCTTATAATATGAACTGCAATACATTGTTGTATGCATAGAGTAGTGTTTGCTGAGTGTCAAAGGACGTAATCTATGGCTGCAGTTATTCGTTTCAAATTTATCGTCACGAAAAGGATTCCAAGAAAAGCACATACCAGTAACAATACAGCGTATGACTGAAGCAGCAATACTACAATCTGTAGCTGCAGTTATTTGTTTTCAACTTTTCTTAGTCAAGTTTCCTTGTTCAGCTAAAATCAAGGTCAGGATAAAAAATGTCACGATGAATTGTAGCCAAAATCCAAGAACCCAATCTCCTTTTGCATTCCTGAAGACTCCAACAATATCTCCCAGTGCAATGTTTAAGTTGACTGCTCTATCAATATTCAACATGTAGTACTAGTTATTTGCAAGAGGCTTCCATTTTACATAACTTGGGCACAAGGTCCATTTCTTTTTGCGTCACACTGCTAGATATCTAAAATTCATGGCATGTTGGTAGATAAATAATTTCTAAATCAACATGAATAAGCTTATTTTAAAAAATAAAATAAAATATGGTTCAAGCTTTCCAGATTAAGCAGAGAGCATAGGAAACTATTATGTAAATAGGAACATGATTGTTAGCATGAATGGAGTTGTTACTCGTACTATTGAGCCTTCTAGGCTACTAAACGTACCGTTGGATCATCGGATGATTGACTTAAACTGTTAATGAGAGAAGCAATGCTCAATTCAGACCATATATCATGCAATAAAAAGGATATATTTGACAGATCTCAATTAGTAGTTTGAAATCAATAATATGAGAGGGTGTACATATCAGGTTGAATACATGGATCATTCCAAAAAGTTGATTGTATACACCTTCTGTACACATTTATTTTCAGATAACTGATCATTGATTTTGCAATGTGAATGCATTTATTGGGGAACAAACAGGATTGGGAAATTCAACAAAAAAGTCTTTTCAAGAACTCAAATACAGTGCCCATTGGCTTTCTTTCAACTTTAAAACTGTTCGCTGCTACTAGCAAGACAACTATTTATAGACCCCACAATTCATGTTGAAGCAAATAACAAATTTTGTAAGTAAAATATTTCAGAGAAAAATTAAGTATGAGTCCACGTACTAGAAGCAAGTCAGCTAGAGATCTGACCAAGTCTATTATTTCTGAATTACCGATTGGTGCACTACATAGAATACTAGAACTTATGCCCATCAAATATGCTGCAAGATCTAGCATCTTATCAAAACATTGGAGACAGTTATGGTCTACACAGCCTAATCTTGTGTTCGATCCTATGTTTTTTCAGCATGTATCTAATACTGAGGATTCTGCTGCAAGCATAATTCATAAAATTCTCATGAAACATACTGGAGATATTCTGGGATTCCATCTCATCTCCGATGCAGACACTTTAACACAGTCCGATGTGGATAAATTCATCATTTTTGCCTCGAATCATGGTATCCAAAAGCTCACTCTAGAAATGGCCAATGATGAAAAATATGTGTTACCTGATAGCATATTTACTTGTGCAACGTTGACACATTTGAAGCTCTCAATGTGCACCTTTAATCTTCCGGATGGTACCCGATTTCCCAATCTTATTAGCCTTCAGTTAGAACATTCTAAAATTGCCGGTCATCGAGGATTCGAAAACAAACTTAATTTGCCAATTCTCGAGACTTTGGAGTTGAGATTTTGTGTTGATGTTCATTCTGTTTCTTTGGTTTGTCCAAAACTTGAGAACTTGTCTATCATTAGCAGCTATACAATTACATTTCGATGTTTTTTTCTGAACCCAATCTTTAGTATCATTAAGCACCTCTGCTTGAATGGAACTTCCCTGGAGGTAAGATAATAACGATACTTTGTTTTTTATTCATAGATGCTCTTACTAACACTCAATTAACATCTACTTTTTTTTGTCATTGGTTGTTTCAGAAACTTCGCTCGGCGTATGTGGAAGACAAGCTTCGCCAACCACTAAAATTGCAAAGCCTGAAAATATGTAACTTTAAGATTTCAGTTGAAAGTATTGCTTGTGCAGTTTGCCTGCTTAGGAGTTCTCCCAACCTTTACAAAATCGAAATAGACAAAGTTGCTAAGGTAAAACATATCATGCCTAATAAGGACAGTTCTATGTATACACATCTTTGTATATATATTTGAAATCTTAAGAACTTCTGGTAATGTATATTGACTATCATGACACTTTTTCTTCAGGTTGATGAGACATTGAATCAGAAAAGGGAACTGTTATCTTACTTATCAATGAAAAAAAAATGTGTGGATGAAGCTCTGAGATTGATTCAAACATTGAGGTTGCGGAAATTCAAGGGATCAAGAATTGAAATGTGCTTAATAAGAGTCATATTTTCTCATTCTCCAAACCTAGAGAGGATGATCATTGAACAGTGCGGGGAATTAGGAAATACTACAAACTATAAGGAAAAATTGAGGGAACAGTTACGCTCCATTACTCGAGCATCACCAAAAGCGATAGTCGTATTTGCTTTGTCATAGTTAAACTGAATTGGAAGTTGATCATTTGTTCTACAAAATGTACTTAATTTTTATATGTTTGATATTGTCCCTTTAATAGTTGTATTTGCTTTGTCATATGTAAGATGTTCCATTGTGGATGATAAAAGTTTGTATTCAATATTGCTAAATTGCGCAAATGTTGGAAGCCATAAAGTTAAAAGTTGAAATACCATTTTACATCCACACCAAATTAAAATATTAAAAATATATACTTAATTAATTTGTATGTTTTGAATGGTGCTTACATGATTAACAGAATGAGGAGGTGTGCTTCTTTGAATTTGCTAAACAAGCCTGAAGTGGTACATTCTTTTATTCTTTTCATCAATTTCTTAAAGAGGTGAAGGGACTATTTCTACTAGATAAGTGGCAACTTCCTAGCATAAGGAGAAAAGATATGACAACTGTAAATTTTTTTTGTTAGTTGAACCAGTGTATTTTGCTTATAGTATGAAAGTCTATGTCATCTTAGTTTTTCTATAGATTGTTTAGTTTATCCTCGTTGTTCTCTATAAGAGTTTAGGTCCATGTACCCCTCTGCTTTTGTAACTCTGTGGATATTATAGACATGGTAGGGGTCAAGCCTAACCCCCCACACCGTTAAAGTGATGACTTAAAAATAAAAAAAAAACAATCAACAACTGTAGTATACTAAATATAGACAGGCAGCAAAGTGTACAAATTAAACAGCCAATTAAGAGGGCCACCATTTGGCTCGCTTAGTTCGAAGGAACATTCCTAAACTTCACAAAGAACTATACTTGATTGTCAATAGTTCTCAAATTATGTAACAGAGAAAGATAGTCTACTTTTTTCACTAATCTTGAAGTTTCAGGTAAGGCTCAATTCCTTCGGCAGATCAGAAACTGATCACTCCTCACTCTTTTCCGCAGGAGACTTAACGTCACCATCCACAGCAGCCACTGCACACGCATGAGAAGTGCTTCCACTTGATGCATCCCCCTGCCTATAACTGTTGTCTATTGGTGGTGGATACACATAATAACCATTGTGATTAGCCATTGAAAAATTAGGAGGCAGGTGATTGGGCATGAGGCTGTAGCCTGAAGATGGATTAACCGTTGGGCGCTTCAACGGAAAATGATCTACTCTCAGGGATCCACGCTCACCACCATCAAGCTCACGATAACGCTGCAAGTACAAAGTCAAGGGTTCAACGTAATCATCAAAACCAAGTGAGTTCATGGCCCAAAGCAAGTCTTCAGCGGTGATTGTCTTGCGCTTCTCAAGCTTGCAACGATCGTTAGCTTCGCCTGTTACAAAGCTTATGAACTCAGAGACACATTCTTGGATGACCAGTTTGGATTCATCAGCTATCTTGGCATTGGGAGGAAGGATCTTGCGCATGTTTCTGACCACGTTGGCTATTGGCATAAATCGGTCTTGCTCCCGGATGGTGCATTCAGAATCTTCTTCACTGGCAGCAATTTCCTGGTTGAGATGAGAAGGCAGTTCCACGCTTCTCTCCATATCTTAATTTCACACAAGAACAAAGCATCAGAGTGAAATGGAAAAGAATAGTAGTATATATATAATCAAAATATTCATCTAACTTCATCACAACTAGCTATGCTTTTGTAGTCCAAATGTCCAATTAAACATTATTAAATCACATTTACTACTACTTAACTTTTCAAGTACTGAAGCATTACAGAACTAATGGAGCGCGTATATATATTTTTCACTAATTATTAGCTGGATACGAGAGTAGTACTACTGAAAGACGGCACTATGAATTGTGGATAATGTTCATGTGAACACCAAAAGCACATTATTTCAACAAAAGAGATGGCTGGTGTGAATACAGACTAATTAAAGTAACACAAAATGCTTCATGTATAATTTTAGTCATCTATCTTATTTTGTCTGATCTTCAACTAACTCTGGCATTTATCAAACCATCCAAAATTCTCTTCTGTACAAAAGACTTTTTATTTTACCATCAATGTGATATAGGAATAAGACAAAATTGTATTGTAACGGACACTACACTACCCACTGTTTTTTTATAAACCATATTTGTATTCTTAGTTGTTCTTAAAGTTATATACACCGCTTCTTGATCTTTGGATGAAGAAATGACAGCTAGATTTTAATTAACTTCTTAAAATGCCTATTTGTTCTGATGATAAATTTGTTGTGTATTTTAATTTTATGGCAGAAATAGAGAGCAATAAAAATAAAACTTGTCTAATTTATGGAATACAACTTGCTGGTTTTCAAACTTGCTAGCTTTAGACAATTTCTTTCTCACTCTCTTGTTATCAATTGCTTTCCACTTGTTCCCCTATTGCCTTAAAAGTTCCAAAATGAAAACAAAAATGGCTGTGTCGATCACCATTACCATGAATTGATCTATTGATCTTTGATATACAAACAACTAGCTTTGAAAATACATAAATGGAAAAACAAATGCATATAACTTCCCTAGATAATTAAAGACGGATGTTTTGTAGATGAAAATACAACAAGCTAAGAAATGTATACAAGTTGCAGCTCTCCATTTAAAGAAGATAATGAAAAATTTAGAAGAATAAATGAAAATTATTACCTCTCCTGAAAAAAAAAATGGATCCTTTTTGCTATCTTTTTGGGGGCTAGTACTGTGTGTGCTTCAACATTTATAAAGCTTCACAAATTTTTGATATATAATTTCACAGGTGGTGTGTGAAAGAGTTATGTGTATGCAATTTGTAGCTCTACCTTGTGAAGGCAGAGAAGAGAGACTTTTCTTAATAGAGGCTCGGCTCGAGTAAGCATTCAAAACCAAATATACAAAAACAGATGCAAAGTTTCATGAATGTTCCATGGAAAAGGAGAATGCATTTGTAAAAGTAAAAGAGAAGTTAGGTAGCATACCAGAGGAAGGGGAACGAGCAAGGGTTGGTTGCGGGGATCTGCGATAGTTATAAAATCCTCCATTTCCTGAACCAACATTATTATTATTAGCCATCTCTCTTTATCTCTCTATACAGATATGTATCTCTCACTAAATATATAAAGGAAGTGTCACTTGGCAAGTGATATTTATAGCTACTTTAAGAGAATTGGGGGGTAGGGGGGGGGGGGAGACATAGCAGTAGGGTGTAATGAATGAGGTGAAGGTATTCGCCCTGATATATAGGCTTTCACAGTTGGACAAATGAGCAATGACCAAAACGACATAGGCATATACTACTACTTCCTCCACCCTAAAATAAGTATAAGTTTAGCTCATTTAGCATCCATTAAGGAAAATAATAAATAGAAGGTATAGTTTATTATGTTACCATTATTTATTAGATGATTTTTTAGAATTGAATACTATTAAGGAGTAGTTCTTTAATACGAGAGTGTATACAATTTTTTTTTTGAATTCCTACGATATCTTGGGAAAAAATATTTTTGGCTAAGCGATACTTATTTTGGGATAGAGGGAGTATATATGTGTTACTTAGCGTTTAATTTTCAGCCATTCGGCTATTCAAAACCCCAAAACAATTAAAACCCCGAATATGTCAGAATAGCAACTTTGTAACCATTTGTGAAATTTACCAACATAATGCAAACTTTTTCACCCACAACAGAACATCTACATATGACAAAGAAGATCTTCCTATAAATGGGACAACATCAAACACATAAATAAGTAAATTTTGTGGCAACCTCCAATTCAGTTTAAATATGACATCAGCACACTTGAAAAAGAAGTCGTATGTAATACGCAACTGCGAAAACAGGTTGTAAATGCAGCTTAGCAGTTCCCTCAAATTTTCCTTAATTTGTCGCGCTGTTCAATAATCATCCTCACAAGTTTTGGAGAATGAGAAAAGAGGACTCTTATTAAGTACATTCCAGTACTTGGTCCCTTGAATTTCCGCAACCTCACAAATCTCATAGCTTCATTCACACGGTCCTTTTCCATTGTTAAGTAAGATAACAGTTCCGTTCTCTGACTCAATGTCTCATCAATCTGAAGACAAAGTCTCTTAATAGTCGACCTGCATTACCAAAGTTAAAGATATTAAGTGTAACAATAGAACTGTCCTTATTAGGTATGGTATGTCTTACCTTTGCAACCTCATCTATTTCATTTTCGTTAAAATTAGGAGAAGTCATTAGCAGGCAAACTACGCAAGAAAATAATTTTAACAGAAATCATAAATTCACAAATTTTAAGGCAGTTTTAGTGACTGGTGAGACCTGTCTGGCACATCAACCGACCAATGTTTCTGAAAAAAAAGATGTCAAAAAAAATGAAATTATGGAGTGTTGGTTACAACAGCTACGAAAATAAAACAAGGCAACCTAATTTTCTTGCCTCTAGAGATGTTCCCTTCAAGCAAAGATGCTTAATGATTCTAAAGATTGGGTTGACATTAAAACACTCAAATGTAATTCTACAGCAGCCAAGGATAGACAAGTTCTCAATTATTGGAGAAACCAAATAATGGAATCAATATCAACACAAAAATCTCAACTCCAAAGTCTCGAGCATTAACTGATTAACTGTTCTTTTAATCCTACAGTACAGACTATTACAGAATCCTCTAACTGAAGACTAACATGATTGGGGAATCGAGTACCAAAAGACAACTTAAATATACACCTCGATAGCTTCAAATACGTCAATGTTTCACGAGTAAATGTTCTACCAGGCAATACATATTTTTCATCATTGTCCATATCTAGATTAAGCTTCTAGATACCATGATTGGAGACGAAACTGTCTATTCCAGAGAGAATTTTATGAGTTATGCTAGCAGCAGAATCCTCGGTATAAGATACGTACTAAAAAAATGGGGGATCAAACACAAGATTAGGTTGTGCAGACCATAATAGCCTCCAATGTTTTGATAGGATTCTAGCTCTTGCAGCGTATTTGATAGGCATTAGCTCTAGAGCTCTATGTAGTATGTCAGTTGGTAATTCAGAAACAATAGATAAGGGTCAACTATATGATCCGTCACTAAATCTTT